TTTTCTTTTTCCTCTAACAACTGTTGTAATTTCTCTTCTCGTTCTTCTTGTTTCTTTTCTTTTTCCTCTAACAACTGTTGTAATTTCTCTTCTTGTTTCTGTATTGCTGCCATCAAATCTGCTAAGCTGTAGTTTGATTTTCCGCCTCTCGTTTCCATTTTTCTCTTTTTTTTTTCTATCCCACTCTCTGACACCAATTTGTTACGTCTCCGTTTGTTAATTGATTTTCCGTAACTTCGTTCCGATGAAACTTAAGCGACACAAGTTCTTTCTTAATAAAACTGGTTTATTCTTTCCGAATATAACTTTACCGATACAATTAACTTCAACAATCGCGTTAAAACAAACGCTAATCAACGAACGTCAACAATACTTCCGACTGCAGTTCAGTTACTCACTATCTATACCTTACCGCGTCACGTTGTCCCCTCTTATATATATCCGCCTACCCTATATCTAGTAAGAACTTGAACATTCGCCAAAGTACATGATAGTTCTAGAAACGTTGCGTCACGGTGGTCATGTGACTCGCTGACGCAACAATATCTTCTGCAGTATGTCAGAACCAGCTGAGTTGGTAAATAGATGAGCCACTGTATTTTATTTTATAAATACATGTATATTTAAAACTGTAAGTCATAAAGAAACAATTATTTGTAATGTTGCAACATATTGTTGTAATTATACATCATAAAGGGTATTAAAACAAGTTGAGTAATTCAAACATTTATATCAGGGTTTAATTTCTGGTAGGATTTTAGTGTACCATCATAGCTATTATTTTGATAAATGTGCTAAAGGAATAGGTAAGGCTAGAGAAAATACTGTTAATTTGAAGTATTATGGGATATGTCTTGATGTCTCTTTGCGTAGTTTAATGTGCCTTTTTTATGTCACTGACCATCATTTAATTAAATACAAGCATCAGGAGAATTGGGTTGGTGTTGTTATTGAAAAAGTTAGTAAATTGTTCAATCACTTCAAGAAACTTATGCCTGTGACTTAAAGTCCTAAAAATGCTTCTGAATGAGAACTGTTCCTGTATTGAAATAAATAAGGTATAACTCAATGCATGTATTCTGTTTATTTGATCAAATTACAACAAATAATTTTATTCACAAAAGAACCTTGTAATTTTACTCTGAACTTTCTCCAATAACTCAATTTCCTTTCCAAGATAAAAAAAAATGAAACCAGAAACTGCACACAGTATTCCAAGTGAGGCCCATCTAGTGACTTGTACTATGAAATTGTGGCTCTTTAGTCATACAGTCAATATTCCTATATATGTATATGTGTGTGTGTGTATACAACCGAAAATTGTGTTAGTTCAATAAACATAAATGAAATCTAGTGATGTCTAACAACATTATCTATGTAAAAATCATAGTACCCTCATTGCAGCCTGGAAGACGCAAGATTTTAATGTCATCAGCAAACTTAATCAATTGGATTTCTTCTAATCACGTGGCACCTACCTCTTGTCCAATGACTTACCAAAAATGAAACCAAGCAGCTCATAAATTTATACATTCACTTTCCATACTGTACACTGTCTCAATGGCTTCATTAAGAGCTGTACCAGTCATTATACCACAAGATAATTTTCCTCATCCACATAATTTTGAGGATTACTATCTAACTGATATGTATTTTATAATGTGATATCTCACATACATATCTTTCCACTTATAATTAAATGCCATATGTCTGCCCAACTAAAAAACCTACTTAAGTCTCTCTGTATAATCATAGTATTCCTGTTACATCCAACTAGTCCCAAGATTTTTATGCCATTATCAAACTTAACCAATTTCTTAATTATGGCTTTACCAGCATCATTAATATAAATTTAGAATAACAATGGTCCTAGCACAGATCCCAAAGGTACTCCACATGTAATATTAGTCCAGATTGACTGGATTCAGTTAATAACTTTTGTTTCCTCCCACCCAGTCTACCTTCAATCCATTTAACTAACTTATCCCCTAATATGATTAATGTAATTTTTTTGCACCAATCTTTTATGGAACATCTTATAGACAGCTTTTTGAAAATATGAGTAAACAAACCTACTCCTTTACCCTCATAAAGATAAGTAACATCCTCAAAAAAGTTAATAAGTTAGTAAAAATTAGGGTAACATTAGAAACCTTCCAGTTTCCTTGATCCTACTGCTCTGTCCAATGACTAATTGAAACCTCCATGTTAAACATTAATTATTTGTTTCAAGAGCCTCATTTATTTTCAAATTCTCAATTTTTTTTCTAACAAAATCCTGATTAAAATCTATATCACATGCTCCCAAACCATTTCCTTCAAACAATTTTTAAAGTCAGGAATCCAACCAACAGTTGTCAGTTGTTTTTTTGAATTATGCACAAAGCTACACAAGGGCTATCTGTGCTCTGCCCATCACAGGTATCGAAACCCGGTTTCTAGCATTGTAAGTCCACAGACATACCGCTGTGCCACTGGGGGGCCCAACCAACAGATAAGATTAAAACTTGATTTGAAAGCTTAGTAAAGTCTTAGTAATGAAACAAAATTGTACCTCCATCCTTGAAATGTTCAGTTCTCATTTGGCTTACCTTTAATGTATCTAAATAAACCGCCCCTCAGTCGCACAGGTATGTCTGCGGACTTACAATGCTAGAAACCAGGTTTCGATACCCGTGGTGGTGTAAAAGGTAGTGCTCAGGTGAGCTTAATTGTTGGAGTTTCAATTAAAACTACTCTTTACACCAAATTTATTTATTGGAGGATTTGTCGTGACGAGTGGAGCCACAAGTCGCTAACTCGAAGAGTTTACAGTTAGATTAAAGAGAATGAGTCTCAGGCCAAGAGTAAACACTCAAAATAATATTTATTTAACATTCATTAATTCTTATAAAGCATTACACACTTAAAATATTAGTTTATCAAATTATTACTTATAAAAACTTTACTGTTATGTTTACTATTTTCTACACTAGCTGATCAAGAGAGAGAGACTATACTTACAGTAGAGTTGGAGTTGGCTACGTTGGTAAACTTTACTTTCATTTTGGTTTGGAGAACTTCTTTCTGGAGAGAACTTTGGTGGAGAACTGATTTTTCAGGCTCTGACATGGGTTTTT